TTCCACTTTCAGTCTTTTTTCTTTATTTTTTTGAATATAAATTTGGATTAACATTCGTGGTCTGCTAATAAGTAGTCTGCTAATATAAATGTGGATAATAACTGGACTCTATTTTATATATAATAGTATATAAATGCTAAACGTAACTAAAAGTTATGTGTACTTCTTCAGAACGAAATAGTAATATTATTATATTAATACAATTTCATATCTTATACAATTTTTCTTTAAAATATTTTTGAAAAATGATCACTTTTTCAAACCATTTTTCCTCTTTTCTTTTATCTCATAGATAACAAACGTTGCTCCCGTATATTATTTAACGAAATTTGATTCATTTTTACCAAGGAAGTGAAAAATAATTTTTGACAGACACTTTAAGATTTTGGCAAAAATCAAGGAGCAGGAAAAATTCTCTAAAAAATTTTGTTTCATTTTTAAGAAATTGAGTTTTTGCTTTAGAGAAAAACTTTCTATATGTTTTTTATAGGGTTTCATGAGATCTACAACAAAGAAGAGTTGCAATTCAAAATGTTTATTATTGAGAGAGCTACGAATTTTTGAAGATTAGGTACCTTTTTATGTATTATTCCCCCCAAAAATACTAAAAAATAGACTCTTTCGCGGTTTAATAATTAATACTAGTTTATCCAATTAAGAGTTGTGATTTTTTCAAATTTTTGTCGAGAATTCTAGACAAAATCTGGCATACAAAACACATGCAAGAAAATTGGTTGGACGAAAATTGCACGGTATGAAAACGTTCACAAAATTGCGAACGCAATTTTTATGCAACGAATGGTTAGAAGATTTATGGTGGAGGTAATATTATTAAAAATAAATTTTTCTTAAATTTCTTAATACCGTGTTATAAAATGATAAAAACAATTAAATTTTGTATTTAAAATTTTGTCGATATCTCTTATGGTTTCAGGGATGTTAGCAAAAATATAAATAATCAGAATTATTTCGAAAGGGGCGTTTCAACTCTTAAAACCGTTTTTGGGCAAGAATGAGAACTTTGAATGAGTGAACTTTGAATGAGTGAACTTTGTTTTTGCAAAAATTAAAATTTCTCGACGTGCAACAATTGTCGAACTTCCCTTGTAAGACTACCAAGACTGTGAATTTTACCAATTAACTTCGAATTTCTAGTTTAACTCAATAACTCGATTAATGACGGTGCATTTGAAGTAATTCCTTTTTCTATTTTGATTCATTTTCATACATTTTTCATTTTACATTCATTTACGTTTATTTTCATTTTATTTCTCATGACTAATTCCTAATGTCCTTCTAATTTAGAAAGTACAATAGAATATACAAGATGTCTCATATAATGTCTTACAAGTTGATCATTTAGAAACTAACAAAGATATCTTTTAATATCCAACGTAATAAAATTTTTCGCCGTCTGACAATTGCCGAACTTGACTTGTTAGGAAGGCACAGAATTAATATTTACGCCTAATAATATAATTAACGTGGCAGTTCTAAGATAGTCACGTTCAAAAGTCGAAAATCGTCAATTGGAGACTTTTATAAACGTACAGCTGTATCCTGTTACTGTTGTTTTAAAGAAAACAAAACAACAGTCGAACAATAAAATTTAGAAAAAATATTACCTTATAGAAGATGACAAAATGAAACTTTTTTTATATGTACAGTTTATTCGTACGACGTTTAGTTTCAAAGGTATAAATTGAGAACTTAGAAGACCCTTTTTCCTAAAATTCAACTTTTGCAACGAACCTATAACTTTTCAATTTTTATTTTTAAAACTAAACGTCCCATGAATAAACTGTTAATATAGAAAAGTTTCGTCTCATCATCCTCTATAAACTAATATTTTTCAAAAATTAATTTAACAAACATAAACATTTCTCTGTGTTTGTTTCTCAAGGGCGTATGTGTACGCCTTCGCAGTCAAAGGGTTAATTAGGAGGTATATCGAGATGATGTTATTAAATATAGATATTTCCTTGTCCAAGAAAAATCGCTTTTCGTTCACGTGTTAAAATTCGACCGAACCTCTTGGCCAACCTAATCTTTAATTATTTCATTACCGCGTTTCCATACAAACAGTGTGTTAATGAAACTGTGGAAATATTTTAGATTTCAGGGAATGAATTCTAAATGGTATCACTTCATTTAATGGCATACTTAATGTTAATTAAATGTTAAGAAAATTGCAATCAGGTAGACGTACATACAGATGTCCCAAAAATGTTGGAGGTCCTGGAAAACGGTGGTTCGGGGGATGATTTGAAACAACTTTTTCTTTTGGGAAAATGTTGTCCGAGGCTACGTTAAAGAGATATTAACAGAAAAAATCGACCAATCAGAGCGCGAGGATTTCGGTTGAGCGCTCGCGGTAGTGTATGCTACGCGCTAGGCGGCCGCGCTCTAATTGGTCGGGGTAGCGTAGGCTACGCGCTCTGATTGGTCGGGGTTTTCTGTTAATATTTCCCTAATGGAGCCTCGAACAACATTTTCCCTAAGGAAAAAGTTGTTTCAGATCACTTCCACCTTGTATATACAGGGTGTCACAAAAATGTTGTAACACCTTAAAAGGGGTGGTTCGGAAGGTGATTTGAAACAACTTTTTTCTTAGTGAAAATGTTGTCCGAGGCTTCGTTGAGGAGATATTAACGGAAAACACTGACCAATCAGTGTGCGAATATGCCGGTGGAGTGCCCAAAGTAGGCGTGGCTACGCGCTAGGCGACCGCGCTCATACACTACCGCGAGCGCTCCACCGGCCATTGGTCAGTGTTTTCCGTTAATATCTCCTCAACGAAGCCTCGGACAACATTTTCCCAAAGGAAAAAGTTGTTTCAAATCACCCCCCGAACCACCATTTTCAAGAACCTCCAATATTTTTGGGACACCCTGTATGTACTGACATACACGGTGTCCCAGCCTAAGTGTTACATAGCTCTAACTATCAGCCGTATGCAAAATTGCAAATATAGAAATTGCGTGGTAAAATGGGACGCATGTTTCGGCGAGAAAGAATTTTTGTTAATTTTGTTATTTAACGTGATATGATGGTCAAGCTTCTTTTTCGGTCGCTACAACATCACTTAGTTGAGTCTCATTTCAAATCTTTCAAAGAAGTCTGTTGGATAGTTATTTAAGGATTTCAGTATAGTTTATATTATACGTATTAACTCACCATATGTAATTGCTTAACGTGTTTATTTCTATGAGTTATTTCTACTCGGAGGTTAGAACACGAATGGACAACACAAGACCTCGAAATCGATAAGTTTATAATATATATAATAGATGTGATTAGTAAATGGTTCCTACAAAGTCGAAAAAAGCATTAATGAGTTTATTGAGTCAAAACCACCATCTTTTAATAGAAACAGCATCCGCCAACTCCCCAAAAAGTGAAAGAATTGTGTACAAAGTAATACCGATTACTTTGAAACATAACTTGTATTCCTTATTCTTATAAATAAACATCGAGTATATAATAAAAAGGCACCGAACTTATTTCTACACCTAATAATTTCGAAACAAATAACACGAAGAAAAATATCCGATGATATAAACCAAATATCGTTGCATTCTTACAAAACACAAATTACTTCGACGTTTGCTTTCATAAGTATACGTGCTTTATAATATTAGCTTTGCATTTGCTTTGTAATTGGTTTCATAAATATATGTGTTGCATATAGAGTTCGGGTTTACCTTGCAATTGATTTTATAAATATATTATCCGCTGCAGTTCGTCTATTTCGAGATCGAGCAAATTATCGCGAAGGTGAACGTATGGTTATCCCCGTGTACCGGCCAAGTTCAAGTGCGTCCACGTGTGATACGATCTCTTGCCGAACTTTCAAAGTCCGGCAAAACCTCCGCGATTCGATGGTAGGAGGGATGGTGGTGGCCCAGAACGCTGGTATATAAAGCAGACGAAATAAAGTTTTGGCATCATCAGTCGCACAGTCGATCCAAACCAACCAAATACTCTCAACAATGGCCTTCAAGGTGGGTAAAAGGTCTCCGCTCGATCAACTTTCTCGACACCATCGAGTTGGTCAGATCAATCGTCGCTGTTCGGAGCCTCTAACGAGGTGCACAAGAAAAAAAGAAAGAAAAGAGCATATATATATAATACTACTATATGGGTAACTGAGAAAGAGGTCCCGTTCCAACGTAAAGGTTAGGGAATATATCTTCCTCTCTTTCTAAGTGTACTCTGAATGATATTTGCGCATGCGTTAAACTGATCTGCTAATAGGAAAATCGATAACAAGATATACCTCACACTTTTAGCAATCATAACCTGTTATTGCTTCAAAACAAAAGGACGATTATCATTTATTTGAGTTTCACTTTCCTATTGGCTTGGTCAATTTGACGCATGCGCATATCATTCAGAGTACACCTAGAAAGAGAGGGAAATACATTCCCGCACCGTAATGTACTAACGAGTGCTACTTATAGGCACCATAGGACGATTAGCAAAATATTAAAATCGCTTTTCCTTTGTTAAAATTCGAACGAACCTCTTAGACCTTAGCTTCCAACCTAATCTTTACTTACTTCATTACCGCGTAAAGTATTACATATACAAGGTGTTCCAAAAATGTTGTAACACCTTGTAAGAGGTGGTTCGGGAGGTGATTTGAAACAACTTTTTCCTTCGCGAAAATGTTGTCCGAGGCTTCGTTAAGGAGATATTAAAAGAAATCACTGACCAATCAGCGGGCGCTGCATTGGCATACTCGCGCTCTGATTGGTCGGGGAGCGCGGCCGCCTAGAGCGTAGCCTACGCTACCGCGAGCGCTCCATCAGTATCCGCACGTCAGTGTTTTTCGTTAATATCTCCTCAACGAAGCCTCGGACAACAATTTCGCTAAGGAAAAAGTTGTTTCAAATCACCTCCCGAACCACCCCTTTCAAGGTGTTACAACATTTTTGGGACACCCTGTATAAAAAAGAGACTGATAAAACAAGTAAAACTAATGGTCGTTATCGATATTTCAGCTCGTCGTGTTCGTGGCCTTCGTGGGTGCCGCCAATGCCGGACTCCTACCCGCGGCTGCGCCCTTGTCGTACGCCCCAGCTGCGCACATCGCCTACGCCGCTGCACCTGTGGCCAAGGCCGTGGTAACAAAGACAGTGGACGCCGACTTCGACCCTCATCCCCAATACAGCTACGCCTATGATGTCCACGACAGCCTGACCGGTGACGACAAGAGCCAGCAGGAAACTCGCGACGGAGATGTTGTCCAGGGCAGCTACTCCCTCCTCGAGTCGGACGGAACCAGGCGCATCGTCGACTACACCGCCGACTCGGTCAACGGATTCAACGCAGTAGTGCGCAAGGAACCGGCCGCCGTCGCAGTCAAGGCCGTGGCCGCCGCTCCCATCGCCCACGCTCCAGTGACCTACGCCGCCTCCGCGCCAGTCCTAGCCGCCCCTGTCGCCAAGATCGCCACCCCCTACGCGCAAGCGTACTACGCCGCCCCTGCCGCTAAGCTCGCCGTCGCTCACGCCGCTCCCTTAGCCGCCTCCTACGCAGCGCCGTACGCAGTCGCCCACGCCGCCCCCGTCCACGTCGCCCACGCTGCCCCCATCGCCTACGCCGCACACCCCGCGCCTCTCGCCAAGTTCGCGGCCGCCCATGCCCTCACCTACGCCGCCCCCACGCACTACTACTAATGCGAGCTGGTGGCCTGCCGCTAACGGTATCGACTTAGGCTGAACTTTATTTATTTTTTTAGCAGACTTGTTTGCGACCAATTAAAATCGTTACAAGTGAATCAGAATTGTTATTTTTGGTGTGGTTATTTGGTATCATTTCCCATTGGGGATCCTTGTTGGGTAACGGGAGGGATGGTGGGATGGAGGAAGGATTTGGATGAGTGAAATTTGGGTTTTAGAGGATTTGTCTGATTAGGACAAGAGAATCATGATTCAACAAATTTAAACTTTTTTTTAAATTCCGCGATATCTACGAGGTGATTCTTGTAGGTGATTCTTGTAGAGTTTCTTGTCCTAAATACGAATCTGAAAATGAAGCTCCATCGCCCTTAGTTTTCGAGAAATACGAGATTTTGTAAAAACGGACGATTTTTAGAGAAAACGTGGTACTACTTGAAAACTACGAACGCTAGAAAGTTCTTTTTAGTCTTAAAAGATAGAAGAGTGTTTTCGTGAAAACATATTCCTTTAGAATTATCTGCGCTTTTGAATGCCTGTAAATGAACACCGAAGTTCAAAAAGTTGGCGACGCGAGTACTTTTCACGAAATACTTTTGTATTTTTATTTTTCTGCAAACATTTCTGAACAGAAAACCACCCGCGGTAAATGTTGGAACGTTTTCTAGTTCGTACAGATCCAGAAAATATTAATTTAGAACGCACGAATTCTGTTTGCCGGCGCGCAGACTTCGCTCGCTTTATATCGATGAACCAGGGCTGTCGTCATGCGTTCTACACAATCGTCGACACGTGCTTCAATAATAACTATCAAATTCTCGTAACTTCGATAAAATTCGCCCCACATTGACGAATAGAAAACCATTTTAAAGCTTAATGTTTCTACTTTTCGATACTTTAATCTTTTGTTATTTAAGTTAGTGTTTGGGGGGTAAACTCTGCTCTAAAGAGAGATTTTTTATAGATAGCAGTTTTCATTAAAAATGAACAACAAAATATACAATTATAGATTGAATTAATTGTTAAATAATTCAATTTAGATTTAAATAAAGTTTGCTCAATACCAAATTAGCAAAAGTCGAATAATTGAAGATACAAAAACGGGAAATTAATGATTAAAATTTAAGCAGTGCACAATTGTCTCCGTTTTGTTGAGTTGCAGTATAAATGAAATATTAAAAATGAAGAATTACTTATCTAAAACATGTAAATGTAATAGAAAAACCGATAGCGCGTGGCACCGATTAGGCGAATCCCGTAGCGACGGCCCTGACTGACCGAAACATAGCGAGCAATGGCTGTGCAGCGGCAAAACACCGTTCATGCGTTCCGAGTTGACGTTTTGTCAAACAGTATGGATTAGAAACCGTTCTAACATTTGCCGCGGGTGGTTTTCTCTTCAGAAATGTTTGCAGAATCCAATAACGTAGTGTAAAATCGATCTAGGTGAATAACTCTTCATTAAAATACAAAAGTATTTCGTGAAAACTTCACGCATCATCGCCTTTTTGAACTTCGGTGTTCATTTATAGGCGTTCAAAAGAGCAGATAATTCTAAAGGAATGTGTCTTCATATTCAGAAAACACTCCTCTATTTTTTAAGACTAAATAGAACTTCCTAGCGTTTGCAGTTTTCAAGTAGTACCACGTTTTCTCTAAAAATCGTCCGTTTTTACAAAATCTCGTATTTCTCGAAAACTAAAAGTGATGGAGCAATTTCACTTTCAGATTTGTATTTAGGACGAGAAACTCTATAAGAATCACCTAGTGGATATCGCGGAAAAAAATCATGTTGGACAGTGTAATTAAAAAAGTTCAAAAAATGGTCACCACCCGACATCGAGATATTTGAAATCGGTTTTTCCCAATTCTTTAGAATCGTTTGTACCCGCCGGAATCGCTTTTCTTTTCGTTCGTACCTCAATAGTTTAAATTATGCAGCAATTATTGATGCACGTAAGAGTGAAGTTCGTTAATTTTCAACTATTCAGGTACAAACGAAAAGAAAAACGATTCCGGCGGGTACAAACGATTCTAAATCGGGAAAAACCGATTTGAAACTTAACGAACTTCACTCTTACGGGTATCAACAATTGCTATAAAATTTAAACTATCGAGGGACAAACGAAAAGAAAAGCAATTCCGGCGGGTACAAACGGTTCTAAAGAATCGGGAACATACAGATTTAAAAAATTTTGAAAATTAACGAACTTCACTCTTACGCGGATCAACAATTGCTTGTAAAATTTAAACTATTGAGGTATAAACGGAACGAAAAGCGGTACAAACGGGTACAAACGATTCTAAAGAATCGGGAAAACTTGATTTCAAAAATCTCGATGTCGGGTTCTGACCATTTTTTTAATTTTTTTTAATTATTAATTGCTGGAAGTACAAACAAACTATTGGAGGTACAATCAGGTACTAACGAAATACTATCGTTTTCTATGAAAAAAAATTAATTTTTGAAAAGTCGAGTATTGATATACATTTATTTATTGAATATATAATGTATTAAATGATACATGATACATTTATTTATTTATTGATAACATACGTTTTTTCTTCATTATAGATATTATCTCCTTTGCTTTACTGTTTAAAATTGCGTATCTCGTTTTGCATGAATTGTATTAGAATTGTATTTATTAGACTACTGATTAGTTAATATTTATCACGTATTTGCTATATTCACTCGTATCATACATATGAAATCCGTAATATAATTATTATCTTCATTTATTCCTTTATTAACCATCTTCATACATTATTATTTTCCTTTGCCTCGTTCTACATCGAATTAAAATAAAATTTCTTCCTTCCAAATCACATTTCTTCTTATTCCTCGCTGTCGCGTTTCACAGTGTCGAAATTTTCTTTCCATTCGCGAATGCGTACACGTATATCGAGCATATTCCACAAAGAGTCCCGTCGCGCGCGTTGCCCCGATGTGCCCACTTCCAAAAAACTTAATCGTTCTGGTTCACTTTTATTATGCAATCATTTAAATCGAGGCCTGGAATTCGGACGCCTTTCTCCCCTGGTAATGGATTCAGCCCGTGCGATCAAAGATGAATTTCGTTATACGCGGCCCGTTCGTACGTTCGTTCGTTTTCCTCTTTTTGTTAAGCGCCTTCACAATATATTTCGCAACCAAACGAGACGGGCGTATGCGTCGCGATAAATACGTTTACTTTAATCTGTCTCCATCGATCGCGTTCGCAACGTTCAACTGTTCGTTCATCGCGAAAAGTGTTTTAAATTAGATTAAAATTTCTGGACTACTCGAAATATCCCTGGAACGTTCGAAACGATTTTTTCAACGAATATAATTTCATATAATTATATATTAGGTGAACCGGAAAATAATGTCGTTTTTGCAATTTTAAATACTTGTTTATCGTTCATCGGCTCATTGATTTTTATCGATCTGGTATTGACAATTTGCACACTAGATGCCAAAAGGCTATTGATAACGGGAGCGATTATACAATTAATAATTAAAAATAGAAATTTATAAAAAATTTGTTTGGATGTAATGTAAAAGAAACGACATTACTTTCCAGTCCTAATTCATGCAGGACACTGCAAGCCATTTCGACCACTTTTGGACGCGACCAATTTTTATTTGGCTGAAATTTTTTTATATTAATATAGTATTCTGCTAAATTCCTTTTTGTGAATTTTTACAGATTTTCTATATAAATAAAAAAAAAGTTATGAATTTAAAAGAAAAACCTCAGGCACCTCCTCCTTTCTGTGTTGTTATCTCAATTCGTTGTGGAGTAAAACGGTGGTGCTCAACCTGCGAGCTATTTGCGACCATTGTTTAAAAAATTGCTAGGCTTTTGTTGAGAGTTTCAAAAATTTTATTTCAATTTCATCTCAATTTCATTTCAATTTTATTTTAATTTTAATTCAATTTTATTTCAACAAGAACAAGTTTCGTTATAATTATAATAAATAAATGTGTTATTATTATAAATTAATGAACACTGCAACAAAATGAACATTCTGATTCTATTAGTATTATTTTATTTTTATTTCTTCAACAAGGTCTCCAATTAAAAATAAAAAAACCAAACTTCAAAGTCAGCCTTTGTACAAGGGAAGCTTGGCTAATTTATTGATTATACATTGGTACTAAATTGTAATTATAAATAAATATTTACATCTTTGTCATGATATCTTAATGAGAATGTTATCGATCGATTAATGAGACAATTAAGTTTCTGGTGAAAATGAATCTAAACATAACCGCATTCGGATTATTTTTTATCTCAAGAAGAACTTCATCAATCATTTAATGATACTCATTAATTAAGATATATTATCATACTCATTAATTAAGATATTAAGATAATTAGGAAATATCAAAATGTGAATTAAAATTGTTCTCTTATCTATATACCTTAATAACAGTGTTGTAATCAATGGAGTTGTAAAACTTCTGTGATGAAAATAAATTTAAAGACTTTTAATTACACATTAAAAAAAGAAAACAATTTCCAATTATCCATAAATAATGTAAATAAAAATAACTTAAAGGTGTTCGTACTTGGACTCGTTTCCATCAGAAACGGTCGAGAATTTGTTCATAATACTTTCATTAAGATATTAGGAAATAAATACTTTTTAATATTAATTAACGAATAACTTATTTCGAAGCTCGCTAGTCACTAATATCCCCTCTTGGAATTCATAATAACGTTCGAAGCTGTATCTCGCGAGCGAAACATTACTCGAATCGCCCACTTAAAATTAACATTACGCGATAATTACTGCGATCGATATTCTCATACATATTTTTTTTTATAACATCCGAGAGTACTTTTCAAGACGAATTCATTAAGCTTTAATGTATTTACAAGATTTTTATTAGTTTTCAAGCTATAACACTGCGTTCATTTTCAGAAGTTCATGAATTATGTATATTTCAGTAACGTTATTTCAAAAATCGTTATTTTTTTTTAATGATTTATAATTTCTGTCTTTATAAC